TTTTGCCATCTAAAACAACAAACAATAAATTAGAAAATTAATTGAAAAGAAGAAAACAACTTACCAAACTTATTCAAACGTATAGTTTCCAATTTCTTTAAAATCTGAAATACGTACAAGGAAAAGTGACAAGTGACATTTTTTTATGTTTTGTTGGTTATGACAAACGAATGGCTACGTTCGAAAGTCCATAGTACTTCTCGTGGAAACTTTTTTAGCAAGTTACTTAATTACGTTGTGTTATCATAACAGGCAGGTTAAATACGTAAGTAACAAATAGATGTTTCGCGAGGTTTTGATTTCCCTCAACAACTTCTCATTAACGTTGCAATTACGTTGTATGGGTATGTTATTATGTTCCCTTAAAACAACATCGCCGAAAGGCTTGGTAACGTTATGTGCTAGCTGGGATAATTAAAGTTTGTTGTTTAGGCAAACAAAATCACATACATAATAAGCTTTTTTATTCGAATATTAGTACATAATTTCGTAGACCAACAATCTTGTTTTGATAAGAACAAACTATTTAAAAGAATGCACATTAGCAATTTTTTTAATTATGTCAGGTCAAGAATTAGGATTATTGGTTTAGTTATATTTGGTGAGTTTTATTTCTTGTTAAATAAGATTGTGTTGAAAGATTAGTAGTCGTATTTTTTTTATTATAATGTAGAACAATGCGAAAATATTATACTGTATCGACCAACGTATGCGCGATTCAAATTAAATTTCGCTCGCCTGTCACTTGTCACCTTTAATTAGGATGTTTGTTTATTTACATGTGTTTCTTTTGGGCGGATTTTTTGTATTTGTGATTTTTTTAACTGTTTTTAGAGAATACTCTCATTGTAATAATGTTTTTGAGTTTCATTTACTGTTAATTTAAGTTTGTCTCGTGCTTTCATCATAAATATAATATTTATCATGTGTATGACTTAATTTGTTGGAAATATTCACCTATTGGTTGCTAAACGAACATCTAGAAATATGTATTTACCAAACCCAGGCCATGTTTTATTATGTGGTTTAAAGGCCATTTTAAGTACCTACCAAACGTTTATTATTGATGAACTTATTTAAAAATCTTACTAGACTTATTCTTATATTATGAAGTGAATTATGTAATACTTTGTATGCATGTAACTGGTAATAAAACCGTCACAAATCAGATTACAGTTTGATTCTAAACAAAGTTTTGCAAAATTTCAATATTGTAAATTTGTAGATATCCATTTATCGTAAGAAACAAAATTTTATGACTTGCACTTGGAAAATAATGAATACTTCAGTTTTGATTTTGACATTAACACCATATACATTGCAATTTGCTGGGGAATTTTTCGCAGATTTCATTTTTAATATGAACACTATCACATACTATAAGAAATAAACAAATTTAAAGCTAAAAAGTAAGGAAAAACTTTAATTGTAATTGATACAAATTAAAATGTAAACAATGAACACGAACGCCAATGTTGCCAAATGATGAACTGATTTTAAAACAAAATTAATAAATGAACTGAAATTAAAAAAAAATCAATATAATAAATTGGTTTTATAAAAAAAATCCTTAAATAAATGTAGAGTATGATTACATATTACTGTACACAAATTTTGATTCTTAAATTAAAGGTCTTATCCACTTCTTCAAGAGCTAAAAATCCGACGACGTAGCGAAATTTTGCTACTTCTGGTAACACTGAACGATATCGTGCTTATAGAGACCTTCTACAAATTTTATTCAGAGGGCGTATCACTTGGCACAAGTGTGTGTGAAAACTACAGAGAGCGAGCAATAAAGCAAGCAGGAAAAAAACAAAACTAGCGATGCCAACCTATAAGGCCTGGCGAATGTTACAACGCGATCGGGTCGTATAAATGGCAACGCTAGTTCTGTTTCTTTCCTGCTTGCTCTAGTGCTGGCTCTCTGTAGTTTTCACACGAACTTGTACCAATGTATGTTAGAAGGTATTCGTTGGCCTATACCGTATGTATAATGTTCTTTATTTGAATTTCAGCATAAAGTAAATCTGAGGAGTATCTTTCTATGCAGTATTAATTTTAGAAATTTTTGTTTTAACCCTAATGACACAGTATTGTTACAAGAACGTTCCAGAAACATGCACTTGGAACATTAGAAGCGTCTCTGTCATGTTTCTTATTCTCCCTTAAACATACCGGGAATGTTTCTGGCAACGACCATGTCAACATTTGTAACGTATTAGAGACGTTTCACAGAGACGTTTGTGGAACATCCTGCGAAGTTGCTCAAACGTCTTAGGTTAGTTTGTTATACTATTGCTGGAACGTTCCAGAAATGACTTAAACGTTTTTTTTAGTAGGATAATCAAATCTATTGTTTTTTTTTTCATAAATTTATTTGAAAAAAATATTTTTTAACAAAAAAATTAAAAGTTAATAATTACGCTCTGATTTAACACGTCTATTTCTTTTTGGAGCCCTACACAACCAGTTACCTATTTGAATTTCCATTTCTTTTTTGTTTACCAATTTTCTGAGCCGAAAGTGAAAATAATATTTCAAGTAAATGACAATGACTTTAGCTATTTTTAAACTAGCGAACTTCCTTTTTCCTTCTTTTTCAGTGAAAGAATACAACTCGTTCGCTAAGAGGGGAGCTATGTATCTTCTGATTTACATTATTGTCCTTGGTTTGGAAAATACAATACAACTAGCCTAAAGACCATCGCTTGCCTAAAGACCATTTGTAACTACTGATAGGTCCATCAACAACGTGGTCACCTTAAGATGGATCAAAGGTCACGCCACATCGAAAGGTAACCGTCTTGCCGATTCACTAGCCAAGAAAGCAGCCAACCAAATACTTTTTGGACCTGGCCCTTCTATTGGCCTGACAAGATTGGTAGTGACAGACCTAATTAAAGAACATTTCCTTGTGAAATTTAAGGAAAGATGGGATGAAACAAGAAACTGCAGAGTTGCCAGGGAGCTCTTAAGTTATCCTGACAACACTGCAGCAAACAAATACTTGACTATGACTAGACAGAATATGCGTCTGGTCACAGGCATTCTGACTGGTCATTGCCAAGTACGGAAGCATCTCCATATCATGGGGCTGTCAGAATCCGCACTCTGCAGAGGGTGCGTGCGAACAAGAAGATGAAACCATCAAGCATATCCTTTACGATTGCCCGACGCTCTCATTTATTAGAAGATTTGTGTTCGGCGAGTATCGGCTAACACCGGCCGATATAAGAGAAGCACCTCTTAGCGACGTTGTCAACTACATTAAATCTGTAGGCTGGCTCACGAGCTAGGAGGTGCCTATCTTCTTAGGAGGATACACAATGGGCCTAATGAGGCCTAAGTGCAGTGGGGGTAACCCACACGTTGGAGATACAGATACTGATAGGTCTTTAGCTACTGTAGTTAATATACCATTAAGGGATTAAGGCAGCACTGTCACCAGCCAAAGGGTCCTGGAGTCCAGAAGGAACATCCATTCACCAGTGGCAAATAAAAATAATAATAAAAAAATTAAATTAAAAGAACAAAAAATTATATCTTAATAGCATAGTCGAGCGGTTCTTGGCAACTAGTTTTAGACTCTTTTAGTCCTAAGGAAATAGAAACGCCGAGGCTCCTCAAATGCTCGGAATATTTTACTGGTTTCTGGGAAGGGAAGGAGAGATTAAAAATAAGTATTAAAACAATAACAAATGTATATTTACAATAAGTACAAAATTTGACTAATAGTCTTAAGAAGGAATGAATAAAAGTATAGTTAGGAAATAAAGCACTACTTGATAATATATCCAAAATTTAAGTAAAAGAATCTATGATTTATGACAACTAGATAAACTTTCTATTAAATTATATTGTTTGAAGTTATTAACAATTAAAAATAGTACCGGAAACTTTAACTGTATAATAATATAAAATACGTATAAGATAAATATAATGCTATAATGTAAATCAGTTAATTATTTCAAACAAAACCCTATAAAAATAAGTTAAAGATATTTACCCAAAGTTCACAAATCGCTGTACAAAACTTTACTTCACACATTACTTTGTTTCGGGACATAGCGTCCCGAAAAACGAGAGATATCGCCTTCGGCGAAAGTCGTCTAGACTTAGGTCCACTAAGTCCTCGCTCGAAGTCCCTTTCTTTCTGTCTAGTCTCTCTATATAAACCCAAAATTTACATGAGAGTTTTACTTTTAAAAATGTCAACGCTCTACCTTGAATTATCTAGTTCAATGTAAGGCATTGACTAGATTAATAATCTAATTTTTGACGATATTTATAAAAAAAATGGGGGCAAGAAATTTTTTTCGGTTGCACGAATGCAATACTGTGGCCCCACACACGACAAACTAAATAACTTTAATAACCCATATAAATACACTATAAGTCGTCGAGTATAAATAATTAATATTACGTTCTATTTGTCAATAAAATGATGCATATATGCAACTAACAATAAAAAAGTATTAACGTTGGTTGTCTAGATATCAGTAATTCCTTACCAAAACACAATTTTATAAATAATCTGGTCAAAATTAGAAAAATATTGCTTGTAACACGTTACGAAATGCCTTTTTATGTAACTCGTTCATGTTGCGAGACCTTGCTCTGCTCGTCCAGCAAATATTCACTCGTTATATAAAATAAGGCGTTTCGTAACCGGTTTCATAAATATCTACTTTAAAATGATTTCTCCAGAACACGAAATATCACTTGAAATAACAAAAATGAATGCAGAATTCTGCTCAAAAAGTCCTGTGAGAAATATGAATTAAAATTATCTATTTTGTAAGTGGCGTCAACAAAAAAAAATTAACACAGTAAGTGGGGATATTCTTCTTATATTCTTATATGTTTTTGTTTTTAGAGAGGTATATTGAAAATATCGTTCATTACACGTCCATAAATGCTTTTCCCATGCTTGCATGACTTCCCATTACTTAAGTTAGAATGTTTTGAAAAAAAAACTATTTAAAATTTTTTTTTAGGATTTAATTTTGGCGATATGGAGTATTTGACTTGCTTTGTTTTATTATTTATAACATTGTATTCATTCAATGAAGTATATACCAAAGAAACCAGGCAATTGATAGACGATCTTAATCCTATTTTAAGAATCATCAAAGTAAATCTTGGAAAAGTCCTAGAAAGGTCCGTAAACAGTGACGTCAGTCGAAAAATATTGGAAAGAGAAAATGTAAGTTAATTAGTCCTTTCGTCTTTAAATTTTTCTTACTAGAAAACAGGTTTGTCCAGGAACTGAACCAGTGGTGTTACTAATTACTACTTTGCTATCAAGATATATTTCATTTAGCTTAATAACCCAATGGAGTAAACGAACAGCGCCAATTCGACTGTAGGTTGACTTACTGTGTTGATGTTTTTATTTTTAGTTAGCTTGATTCTATCCTAGATATACACAGGATTGTATTTTCTTAGGTATTTATTTCGACGAGTAACAGAAGTTACGAACAGCGCCAATTCGCCAGTTGGTTTACGAACTGGGTTGCTATTCACATCTTCTTTATAGTTTAAACCTGGTAGAATCGGCGGATGGTGTAGATGTCCCCCTTGAGCTAACGAACAGCGTCAAATCACCAGTTGGTTAATTATGTTATGTTGAAAATAGGGTGTTAATACACTGCGACCTAAAAGATCTATTGTGCCCCCTTCTATCGCCAATGCACCAAGGAAATGTCTCAATGCCTATAACGACCATTCCAATCCTATTTTCTCATCTATTTGATATCCTCCTAGATATAGTGCCCTTGGATTCTGGAGTGCTACACATTCAGTTAAGATGTGAATGGAGGTTTCGTCCTCCTCCTCACAGAATCCACACTCGCTATCCTCTTCTACTCTCAGTTTACTCAGGTGACCCTTTAGCCGGCAATGCCCGGTAAGGATCCCTGTTACAATACGTAGCCTGTTCTTGCTCAGGCAGAAGCAGGCTTCCAATCTTTTCTGGTTATATTCCCCAGAAATATTTTGGCCTGTCTCAGCCCCAAGAGATTGTTCCAATTATCAATTCTTCTATTGCACAATTCTTTTTTAATCTCTCCTAATATTATGTTACTGTTGATACCGCAGAACGGCTCAAGTCCTACAAAGGGTATTTGAGCCCCTTTCCTTGCAAGACTATCTGCAATCGCGTTACCCTGTACCCCGTTATGTTTCGGGACCCAAGTGAGAGTAACTTTATTTTTCTCGCCTAGCTCATTCAATTGTTCTAGACATCTCCAGACCATTTTTGAGCTGTTTATGTAAGCGCTCAGCGCTTTGGTGGCTGCTTGACTAACGGACATGATGATAATCTCTGGTCTATGATAGTTTTTCTCGATGTTAAACTAGATACACTTCTCGATGGCGTGAATTTCCGCCTGGAAGATGCTTGGGTATTTTCCCAAGCTTTTGGAATGATTGGTTCTCGGTCCATACACTCCTATTCCAGTTCCTTCTATGGTTTTGGAACCGTCCGTATACCACTGAATAGCAGGTCTTTCGGTTGCAGACGCGATGAATTCTTGGCTCCATTCTTTCTTGCAGCCCAGCTCTGTGGTTTTGAAGTTTTTCACAAAAGTGTACTTCTTTAGCATTTCATCCTGGGGCATGTCCCAGGTATCTTTAGTCCTGAAGCAAGTAGACTTTAGTCTGATTACTCCGTTTGAGATCATTCTATATCATGTCCTTTTTGCCACATTCTCTATCATCAAATGTAGTGGGGTGAGGTTTAAGATCACCTCCATTGCGGCTTTACAACTTATTTACTTATTTACTACTTCCTTCTCATGTGTGTTCCAGATAAGTTTGTTGTCCAGGGTTAGGCCTAGATATTTGACTTCATTTTTCCATTCTATATCTATCCCGTCTAATTTAACGGTTTTGAGATTAAGTTTTCTTTTCCTTGAAAAGGCTAATAATGTTGTTTTTGTAGGGTTTATAAGTCCCACTTCACGGCACCATCTCTTGGTATGTTATAGTCTCCCTATATCACACAGGATATTACTAAACTTGCCACTAGCAAATATGACTATGTCGTCGGCATAACCTAAACAGGGTATGCCGAGGTCAGTCAATCTGCATAGAAGTTCGTCTAAGATTAGGCCCCACATTATTGGGGATAGAACTCCTCCTTGTGGGCATCCTCTGGTTGTGCAGATGGAGATGGTGTCATGTCCTATCTGTGTCTCTGCAGTTCTCGTAGATAACAGCTGAGCCATCCATCTGGATGTGATGTTATCTACTCCTCTGTATTCAAGTGCTCTTTTTACAGATTCGTGTGGCGTGTTGTCAAAAGATCCTTCTATGTCTAGGAAGGCACACACGACCATTTCTTTGTTTGTCAGTGCATCCTGGATTACGTCAGTCAACTGTACCGGGGCAGTTTCTGTAGATCTTCCTGCTCGGTACGCGTGTTAGCTGTGGTGGAGTGGCACCCTCTCCAGGACTTCCGTTCTGATATAATTATCAACAGCCTTCTCCATTGTTTTAATACAAAGGATGTGAGGCTAATTGGTCGGAAGGATTTAGGATGTGTGTTATCCTTTTTCCCTACTTTTGGAATAAAGGTGACTCTAGCCCTTCTTCATGCTTCTGGTATATATCCCAGCTCCAGACTGCTCCGGGATAGCCGGATTATGTGTGGTAGTAATTCCTCCTGTACCTGCTGAAGCAGGCTAGGAAATATTACATCCACACCTGGAGACTTAAACGGTTCAAAAGTGTTTACGGCCCACTTTAACCGATTTCTGCTGCATATATGTTTCGCCACTACAGCGGCCTCTCTTGGGGGCCTGCTTACCTTAGTTGTGTCCCCTATTAGAAAAGGTGTGCTTCCAGGAAAGTGAGTTTCGAGTAAGATGCGAGCTCGTTCCTCCCCACTCTCCGTGAAGTTTCCATTTGGTTTCTTTAATGCCATAACTGTATCAACTCTCCCTTTTGCCAGGACCCTGTGCAGTCTCGCTGCCGCAGGTGTAGAGTTAATATCCTCGCAGAATTTTCTAAAGCTGTTACGTTTAGCTTTCCTGATTTCTTTGTTTTAGGAAGTAAACGCCTCGGTGTAGCTCTGCCAATCTCCGATGTGCTTGGCCCTATTATATAGCTTCCGCACTTCGGATCGTAAGTTTGACAGATGACGGATCCACCCAGAAGCATCCCTACTAGTCCTATTTCTTTGAATGGATCAGCTTGATTCATATGCCTCAAGTATTGCCCCATTTAGTTCTTCTAGATTGCTTTCCAGAGCAAGTGGGTGCCCAGGCCCCTTTTTTGTCTGAATACATGCTAAATTTTGTTTTAGAATGGTGTTGTATTTGTCCCAGTCTGTTTTACTAGGATTCCTCCTGAGGATCGTCTCAGGAATGTCGCTCTCTAACGTAAACACAATTATTTTGTAATCAGATAGAGATGGTTCACTCGATCCCCTCCAGTTTTTAACTAGATCTTTAATACTCGATGTGCTTAATGTGATGTCTAATACCTCACTTCTTGCCCTTGTTACAAATATTGAAGTATTTCCAATATTTCGTACAGTAAGGTTTTTATTAAAAATACATTCTAAAAGTTGATTGGTGTCGTTGCTTCCCCATACGGTGCTGTGCGCGTTGGCGTCGCATCCAAGAAGTAATGGCAGATGTTTTCTCTGGCAGTACTCCACTACCCTTGATACTTCCAGGGGTGGTACGTCGTCAAGGATATTATGAAGGAAATATTTGGGGACGGTAAGCTACGGGAAGTAAGGCGGCGAGACTTTGGGCGTCAGGACGTAAAAAACGCTCGGGGGATAGGTCGTCGGGACCTAGAATGTGGGGACCCAAAAAGGTATAGAATTAGGATGGCGGGACGTTGATCGTGACAGCGTTCGGGGGATAGGAAGTATTGTAGGATAGACGTCTGTTAGGAAGAGCGTCGATTTAAGAAAGTTACTGATAACTGAATTCGAAAGCAACTGAATCAGACTGGATTTAAGATAAGGAATATCGAGTTCTACGTGAACGGGTATTGATACCTGTTTTAATGACTTTTTGTGACGTCAATTTGTCGTAGCTCCGGTGGGAACGAATTTTGGTACATAAAAAGGGGTGATATATTTATTATGTGTCTAGAGAAATTATCGGAATTTTGTATCGAAATCTTGTCGAAATCAGTCTTAATGATTGAACTGATAGGGCATTAACTGTTTTAATGAATATAACTTCGTGAAAAGGAATATGTTTATGGAGGCTTTGGATTGAATTCCCGTGAAATAACTTTCTGCGAATAGAAATATTACTTTTATTTATTAGGAATCATAGATAGGATTTTATTATCTAAAATATTTTTCGTAAAATGTAGGAATTTGAATTTAATGAGAATGAAAATGTTCTTTAATAAAATGGAATTAATAAATTTTGAAGGTACCTGGGTGAGATAGGTTACAGCTTTGAGTATAAAATTATAATGTATTGACGCCTTTTAAAATTGGCAGATACTATTTAAAATGTTTAAACAAAAATATCAAAGCGGGAAATTTCTTCACCAGTAATCCACTAAATTTAATTTTATTTTTTAGAAGGCTGTTAAGGAACTGCCAGCAAGTATTCCATTTCCCTGTAAGTTAAACGGTAAAATGAGAAGCGACAGAGTTCCAACGAATGCTCATGAAGTCAGACCTGGTGATATTGACGTTATCGGTGGAATGGGTGACAGTTTAACAGCAGGTACTGGAATATCAGCCTCCTCTGTTATCCAGGAACTTTTCGGAGAAGAAAGAGGTCGATCGTTTTCAATAGGTTTGTAGCTGTTTTATTACACAGGGTTTGAGCAAAGTATGGAACCAATCACAAATATATTTAAAATGGAAACGATACCACTAATGATACTTTGCAGGTTTGTTGTAATGACGCATATTGTATTTATTCAGTACTCGCGATTAGTTTAAAATGTTAAGATCTGTCAAAATTCAAATTTCTGTATCTTACGAGAGTTATAAAATAAAATCGGAAAATTCAATCAAAACAGATGTGTCAAGTTGGGCATGCATCTACGGTACATTTTGCATAACTGGTGTAATGTACTTTAATGAAACAAAAATTGAATTAAGCAGAGTCCATCGTGGATGCATTTGTGTTACCTTTAATGTTACCAGTTGTAAAAAACCTTGTACAAAGGGATCTTACAACCCTCCGACCTAGCCCAGATACTCTAATAAGTATTACATTTATGGGTCGGTGAGATTCGGCTCAGAATTTAACCAACAAATTAATGGCACTATTTTTATTTACAGAGACAAAAAAGTAGAATTAATGCTCATTTAGTTGTTTAATAAATACAAATTATACCATTAGCTTGCCAGCTAAAAGTAAGGAAAATTAAAATACGTAGTGAAATTTTAAAATATTATAATGGAACAAAGTCTACTTTACTCAAAAAAATTAACAAAATGAGTGAAATAGTTCTGGACAGGTATTTGAAATTTAAAATGATTATAGCCTGATCAAATGGTAGTTTGTCGGTAACATGAAAGCGGTAGATAGAAAGTTTCTCAACGGAATTATATGTTTTTTTGGGTTCTGAAAACTAATCTGAAGTTTGCTACCCCGTAGCAGTGCCGCTTCAGGTCGAAAAATGCAAAAATCCTCTAGATTTTCCGCTTATATCATGAAAACGATGCATCGTGCGGAAAATGTCGTTCTATTCTAAGTTAGAGCATAAAATTTTACGTCAAAAAATCTCCCTAACTTTCAAATTGGACCAATTTATAAGGTCCCTATCGTCAGTCGAAAAAAGCCAATTTTTAGCAACTCTTGTGAAAACTGCAAGAAACTCACTTTTAGAAATGTGTGATGTGAAAATAGCCACTCTACGTGAAAAACTCGTACAACAAAAGTTGTAAAGAATCAGATTTTGCGTTTAGTGAGTATCGAAATTTTAAATTTGGATTAGTATATATGCATATACTGATCATTTCTCCATTTTCTCTCCAAAAGCTTATTTGACCAATATGCAGGGGTTCAATAATAGCAACTCTGCGCTGTCAATATGAATTCCCCCTCTCAAAACCCTCTTTCCAATCCTAAATTGAAGTACCAACTCCTCCTTCTCTCTTAAACTCCCTTCCCAACCCTAAATTCCTTCCCCTTCCTTTTATTGCAAGTCTGACTTGAGGATTTATAAGTATTGTGTTGATGTAATAAAAAGTAATAAGTACCCACTTACAAAAAAAATATTTACTTATTTATTATATTATTAAGAGTTACAAGATAAAAGAAGAAACTTCTCATTATATATTTGATGAAAAATCGTGGGAAGACCATATAGTCAGCTGGAAACAAGAGCAAGTCAGTTGAAGTATACTGTGAAGATACTATGAAAAAAAAATACCTGATAGCAATGTCCATTTTATTTGACTCTCCTTCGTTTGGCTGGGACTGTGGAAGGTCCGGGCGTAGGGTTTTCAATGGACGATGATGGTCCAGGCTCAGGCTCTTCAGTACTCGGAGTGGCAGGCTGGGATGGCGCTTCTTCAACTGAAACTAATGTCATTGAGTTTAAGTGTTGTAAAATAATGCATAAATTACCTTCTAAAGTCTCACCTGCCTCTGACAGTGGTGCAGTAAACGGAGGGTCGTCTTCTTGTTCATCGAGGTCGGTTCTTTCGTCCACGTTGGTGCAGGAATCGGCACAGTTGATGCAGACTTGGATGCAGAACAGTCATACGCGCCTGCAACCACAACGCCCACCACAATCAGTGCAGTATTTGCATGATATTTGCTGCAATAATTTGTCATGAGCTGGAGGTTTCAGGGTGGTAAGTGGGATCATACCATTTTTGGTTGACTTCCAAACCCACATGTTCGGATCCAAACTATTGCCCAGCCACTGCTGCACTTGTAAATATACCCGCAAGCTATGCTGGTAGGCTGCAGGATCGGTGGGAGGGATAGATGCAATGTTGCTGGAAAACTTGAAGGCAGAGCCACCAAAAACTTTTCTCCAGCCGTTGGCTGGGCTGACGGATCAAACAATTTCCCAACGGTTTCTTCAAGGTCTAGATATTTAAAGAGAGTCTTTAAGATTTTAGTATTGCATTGTTTATATAAAGATGGCGTTGAGTCGCATCGCGTGCAGAAACATCATGTGCTTGGCAAGATTTTGTTTCACTGCAGACTGTGGTTGGTACTGCAACTGAGGCGCTTTCCCTGTCCCTGGATTCGGCAGATAGACATTTGGAGAAGTCTTGAGACCCATCATTATCACCAGCAGATCTACATCTTCCTCCACAATCGCAACTTGATTACAAAATTATTTTATGGACAGGTATTTAATAATTCCAATGAATACTTGTTGAAACTAACTTAATGACAAAAATGACTTTATCTGGGTTAAAATGTCTAGATGGCTGGCGACACTTATCTTTTTCGTGTAGCCGATCAAGGTGGTAGCACTCCAATGGGGACAATAACGGGGTTAACACTCTCTGAGTGTTTCCGGGTCGTTTTAGAACAGCCTAAGAATGTGGTATTCGCTCCGTCCGTGAAAGCAGCGCTAATGCAATTTTTGTACCAATGGACTATTTTTGCCTATACTGACAATACAATTTTTAATGGAATTTGTAATTAAAAAGTATATTTATATGTTAATTTTAATAAAAGTATATGGATTTGTAAAACAAGTGGAACATTAAAACTAAGTATAATCAATAAAAATTAATAATAAAATATAGACAGGCAACAGTAGTTACGGGAAACTGTATAAGAAGTTGCCTAAGTCTAAGATGTTGTCTTTGAAGAATTAACCTATTCTGTCAGAATAAAAAATACCATTAAATAATAGCGTAGAGTTAAAATGTATGAACAGAAGGATTATTTATATTTTCATTTTTGTTTGAAAGAAAACATAGAATGAATGATTAAAACTACAAAAATAAAGGTAATTTTTCTTCTTATTGTACAGCTATCCATTTATTTTTTGATATAATTACCACTTGGCTACTGAAAATTTTTATAATTTACACTTTTTTGCTAGTATTTTTACAATTTACAACACAGTAACTCCGGTTGCTTATTTGTTTTTACCTATTTTTAGTAAAATGTATACGTGTAGTTGCCAAAATTACAAAATATCTGCCTAAAATGCACGAATTATCTGCAGTATCGCTTTTGCTTTCCCTTCCATGACTTCGCACTGAGCGAATATGTAGATACACCACATCTTAATCTGTTCATGTCTACTCTAGTAACGTGGTGCTCTCCAGGTCTCCTTTAGCGATCGGTCTACTTTAGTGACCTTTGTACTCTCCAAGTGTCCCTTAATTACGTTAGTGTTTTCCAAATATCCTTTATTATGTTTGTGGTATCCAAGTCTCCTATATTTTAAAAACACAGTGAAAGTCACTTATTACAAAAAAGTCTTCCCATCTCTTTACACGTGTTGCATAATAAGAAAATACCAAAAACTCAAAACAAGTATATTTAAAACAAATAAATTATGATTATTACAGCGATTAATTAGATTCGTGTTATTTTCTATTACACTACTTTATTATAATATAAAATCGATGGATCTTTAGGAGCTGGTTCGGTCAACTATATAATAAGGCAGTTTGTTCTAGAGTGATCTTTATTCGTTTTTTGACATATGACTTGGCACATGACGTACATGTTGTCAACATCTGTAAAAAAAACTAATATGGACGCCACATTCCTGCAACGTGGCTGTGGAAACGGAAAAAACATTTATATATAATTTACAAAGCGAGATTTAAATCCTATAAAATCACTTATCAAGCAATTTAGAATATTAAACGATTATACTGACCTTTGGCATACCAAAAACAAACACAAAATTAAAAGTTTTGAACAGTAAAGAGCGAGATTCCTCTGAACATGCTTAATAAGACTAAACTTACCGATTAAATGTTTTACAGCAGCGAAATATTTATCATAACGGGATGGATAGTACAGAATATATTGTTGAATGTTTTATAACATTTTTAAATTATGGAAAAGGAGCGTTTAACATAACGTTATATTTGCAGAGTATATATCACTTGTAATGGCAGTCAACCATTAAAATAGCAATAATATTTCTGAAGAAGTAAATATGTATATTGCATTGAAAAATAAACCCAAATTTACTTGTGGTGTAGATTTAATTATTAGTTTTATAGTAAAGGGTTTGGTCTATATTTTTGCAATATCTCTTTAAACTGTATTTAATTTGGTATCCGAACATTTTCCAGATAAATGGAAATAGTTTAAAATTTGTCTCATATTTAAAACTGGAGCTATTAATAATAGCTTTGTTCCAACAGAAGTACATAACCGTTACGAATTTAACTAACCACAACATAGTCGTGAATAAGCTAAAAAATTATGGCTTTGATGAGCATCTTATCAACTAACTAAGGTCATACCTACATGATAGATGCTATTTGATGAATTTCGTTGCCATAAATCAGTTAATTTCAATGCAACAAGTAGTTCTTCCCAAGGAAATAACCTGGGAAGTAAATGCTCCTCACATATGAATATGTCTATTTGCTTAGTTCCATATTTTATTCCAAGCCTGTATTTAAATGTAATATTTAATGTCTAGTCCCATTGCCAAACAAAAATTAAATGAATCAATACAAGTATGCAAATCCTTAATTTACATATTATTCTCTTCATAAATCCATGATACATTTTTGAATTTGATTTATCTTTGAAGGTCATTTCGACAAGGTAAAAGGTCTCTCCCAAATGTGGCTTTCAAAATTAAATTATTGAATCATTTTTGTATACATGGCGACTTAAGAAACTGTTTTATAAAAATATGAGTTTTTGGAATTTTTTTGAGATATTTAATTAAAACAAAACACAAAGGAAAAAGAGAAAAACTCAAAGTCCGTGTCACAGAAACATTAAACGTTTCCCTCCTGAAAACAACTACATCTTTAGCTAATACTACAACAGGTATTGTATTATATTAAATGAAAAATACCAGAGAGAAAATAATTTTCAACGTTATTCGTGGGTCGATTGCGTCCTTATTAGGACTCATCAGTAAGAAATAGATAAACTCGGCTCCAGTCTCTAATATAGTCTACCACTGTGGCCGCTTGATGTTTCTGTGATACGGACTTTGTGTTTTTATCTCTTTCCTTTGTTTTTAGTTTTAAATTGGTCACATTTAAGAATTGGGATTTTTGTCCTTTGCTATTTAATTACTTTTAGAGTACCACCATCTCTCTGATATACAGATAAAGTTTTTTATTTTTAGGCGGAGAAAAAACATGGAAAGACTATTTGACGCTTCCAAATATTTTAAAAATGTTCAATTGCAATTTATTTGGATTTGCTTTAAAAGCTTCGCAAAGTTTTCAAAGGGAATCGCAGTTTAATGTAGCAGAAAACGGAGCTATATCTTCTAACATCCCTTACATGGTGAAAGAATTGGTCAAAAGGATAAAAAATGATCCCAGAGTGGACTTAAAGAATCATTGGAAGGTATATTACGCGTATACCACCAATCTGTAAAAGTATTAAAGATCAGTATTCTAAACCTATCAGTCTTCATCTTAAAATTATTTACATAGTTCATTCCATGTCTTCTACATTATTGTCAAATTCTCATTGTTGAACTATTTTGCTAATATCTAACTAAAGGCATATTACATATACCTCAAGATCTTTACACACCTTTGATAAATAATTTGAACATAATTTTCAGATGATTACGATTATGATTGGAGACAACGATTTTTGCTCAGAATTGTGCTACTATCCAAATTATTACGATTCTTTAAACGAACATAGAAACGATTTACTTTTTGTTCTCAGATATTTGAGAGACTACTTACCTAGGACTATAGTCAACGTTATCCCTGCTCCACGTAAGTACTACTCAAATTACATAAAAATTCGGCTCAAAAGACTTCAAATCTTCAAATAAATGTTTACGAAAACAGCAGATCTCATGAAACTAATCACATATTTGTAAGACAAGTGTAGTTTTAGGTCTAAATGTTACCCAAGAAGAATGGAGATAGGAGAATGAAGATTATGCGGTGGTTAAGAATAGTCACGGCATTCAGCGCGAACTGTCATTTATCAGGATTATCAAGGATTATTAAAGACACATAAAAAATTTAAAAGTTCGTCTTTTATTGTTTTTGCCCTTTATTAATTAATTAATAATAATAATAATAATAATAATAATAATAATAATAATAATAATAATAATAATAATAATAATAATAATAATAATAATAATAATAATAATAATAATAATAATAATAATAATAATAATAATAATAATAATAATAATAATAATAATAATAATAATAATAATAATAATAATAATAATAATAATAATAATAATAATAATAATAATAATAAAAATAATAATAATAATAATAATAATAATAATAATAATAATAATAATAATAATAATATAATAATAATAATAATAATAATAATAATAATAATAATAATAATAATAATAATAACAATAATAATAATAATAATAATAATACCATCTACGAAAGCACGACACCCATTAAGAAGAACACATCTTTAATCAGGTTCAGATCCAATTGTACCCGATTTTAGCAATACCACCGTGGCGATAATCCGCAAGTAACTCAGGAAGAGATTAGAAAAGCACTTAAAGGTACTAGAAATAATAATAATCCGAAGAAATAGCTCCCATTAAACCAAGGACTCCTATTGACCAAAAAACTTACGATGCTCTGCAAGAAAACCTCCTCAAGTTTAATGAAATGGACCCCTTAAATGGACCCCCAATACCAAAGCTTAGAACAAATGAAGACACAAAAAGTATAATTAAATTTACGAATAGCATACTAACTGAAATAATCACTGATCTGTATTATTTTACTGGATAGGATATAGCCCCCTAAAAAACGTTCCGAAAAATTGGCCGATTTTTTTTTATTTATTTAGGTAGTATCGGATAGCATTATTATGATATAAACAATAAACGTTCATTCGTGAAGATACAATATGCTTCACGTTTCCATTTTTATATTTTCTTTCATAAAAAAATCAAATTATAGGTGAATTGTCCCGAAGGACATTGCCCGCAGAAGGAATAGAAGAAGAATAAGATGAAAAACTAATTAAATTATAGGTTAGGTATGTCAAATTATAGGTTAGGCATGTCAAATTATCCCAAAATTCAGTTCTGTGATCCCACCACAATTTGCCCAAATCGGCCAGCAGTGTTGCACTTTCGGTCTCCTTGGTGGAACGGATTTTTAGTATGTTAAATATAGCCTATATCCTATCCAGTAAAATAATACAGATCAGTGGAAATAATACCCAACTGCGACAATATCGAGCAACTTCACGATCTTGTCTATGCTTCCGCAATAACCATACTTCAGCTGCACGGTCAATCCATTAAGCCTCACACCGCCACACCACCGTAAACTAGCGAAACCAGCCCTGGCTGGATAAAAAGATTACAAAACAAAATAATCAACCTTCGGGCGCAAATAGGAATTCTGACTGAACTATTTAAACAACATCCAATCAAAAGAGTGAAGAAAAAGGCCAAGTATATAATAGAAAAACATCATAGTGAAAATAACAAAACAGACGCTGAAATTCTAGACTTCCTAAAACAAAGACTAAAAGTAATGGCAAGCAGGTTAGGAAGATACAAGGAGGCATACCAACGGCGCAAAGACAATAGTCTATTTACCAAAAGTCAGAGATCCTTCTACCGTAGGCTTGACCCTACTACAACCCAAGCTGATGGAAAATATCTCAATCCAGAAGAGATCCAAAAATTTTGGAGTAACATATGGGAAAAACCAGTAACACACAAAACTTTAGCCCAATGGAACAGACACGAAACAAAAATCAGAGAAAAAGTGCCTATGATGAACCCACAAAAGATAACGACCAGTGACCTAAAAGAAACTCTAAAAACAGCAGCAAACTGGAAAGCTCCGGGATCGGACAAAATCTAAAATTACTGGTACAGAAGACTAACATCCCTATGGCCAAAACTAAGTTCCCTGCTTAACGATCTTTTGCAGAACCCTGAAAAAATACCTTCTTTTCTAACTCAGGGCATTACTTACCTCATACCAAAGACAGAAATACCAAATGAATAACCTCCTTGCAGAAGAACAGAAAGGGTGCAAAAGCACTCTCAGGGATACAGAGAACAACTATCTATTGACAACATCATCACCAAACATGCAATTAGCAATAAAAGTGACCTGTACACAGGATACATAGACTACCAAAAGGCATTTGATAGCGTGCCCCATACCTGGCTGATCCAGAGTTTATCCATGTACAAAGTAGACCCCAATACCATTGCGCTACTTAGAAAAATGATGGGAGAATGGAAAACAAAACTAGTCACCAGTGAACAAACAGTACAAAGCGAACCAATAGAAATTAAAATCCGTAGGGGCCTATTTCAAGGCGACGCGCGACTCTATAATTTATGTCTAACTACTGATTGGAATGGTATTTCTGAAGATATTGACTCTAAATTTTTAGACTTCTTAAATAAAATAATTATGTATTTCAATACAGCTTTCCCCCTTCGCCCCATTAAAACTAAATGTCATAAATCTTGGACAACCAAAGGAATAAGAACATCATCTAAAAATATGAGGTCACTCATGTATATTAAAAAGTACACAGATAATCCCCTAATATTAAACTATATCAACAACTACAGAATATTGTATCGGAAAATCACCAAAACTATTACAAAAATCGCATCGCAAGAGCTAAAAACTCCTCCAAAGAAACCTGGTCTATAATAAATGACTTAAGGAATAAAACCCGTTCTTCAAACAGTGTAAATCCTAGCCCAGATGAACTAAACAATTATTTCGTAAATGTAAGTAAAAATATCAAATCTAACATAGCTCCGAGTCAGGATGCTCTCTCCTTCCTCCTACCTACTAAAAGGATCACTGAAAGTTTCTTCCTAAGACCAGTAGACAAGCATGAACTAGTGCAAACCATAAACAACATCCAAAATAAATTTTCCTGTGGAATTGATGGCCTGTCCACCAAAATATTTCTAAATATACCGGATGTAGTAATCAACATTTTAACTTCACTGATTAATGAATCCTTTGAAATTGGTCTCTTTCCTAACTGTCTAAAAACAGCTATAATAATCCCACTTCATAAAGGTGGCGACAAAACCAAAACCTGTAACTATAGACCTATCGCGTTATTGCCTACCTTATCGAAGATAGTAGAACGGCTAATGAAAAACCGTCTTTTGCCCTTTCTTTTCAAGCATAACATCCTCACAGCTCATCAGTATGGCTTTCTACCTAAAAAATGCACTAGCGACGCAATGTTTTCCGTTCTTAATGAAATATACACATCACTTAATGATAAACTTTTCACCGCTTCAGTATTTTGTGACTTCGCAAAGGCCTTCGATTGTGTAAATCATGATATTTTAATTAATAAGTTACAAATTTATGGCATACGGGGTTCTCCTTTACAATGGTTTAAAACTTACCTAGAAAATAGAAATCAACAGGTGCGGGCGAATGGTGAGGATTCTACAAATCTAGCAATAAGCAGTGGAGTACCTCAAGGATCAGTATTAGGTCCAATTTTGTTTTTATTATTCATCAACGACATCACAGACTTAAGAATAAGTGGTAGAATTACTTTATTTGCTGATGACACCAGTGTAACCTGGAATAATTCTAACATGCAGACATTACAATCTATCATAAGTGAAGATCTAGTGATTATTAAGTCCTGGTCTGATTCGAATGGACTTTGTTTCAACACCAGTAAAACTGTAGGATTGTCTTACAGAGGTACTTTACAACCTATAACTTTAAACAATAATCTGATCCAAACGGTGACTTCAATCAAGTTTTTAGGTCTTTATATAGACGATTCTCTAAAATGGTCTGCTCATATAGATACCTTAGCAAAAAAATTATCCTCCGCATGTTTTGCCATTAAATCGGTTTCTAAAGAGCTGACTCCTTCTACTGCATTAATAACCTACTTTTCCTTATTCGAATCTCACCTTTGCTATGGTTTACCTTTCTGGGGTTCTTGTAGCTTATACCTTTTCGAATCTATTTTTAAACTGCAAAAAAGAGCAATCCGCCATGTATTTGGTTTAAGTAGTAGGACACATTGCGAAAATTACTTCAAAAATTTCAAAATTCTAACCCTTCCTGCTCTATTTATTTTCGAATCCGTCTGCTTAGTTCGCAAGCACATTCAAAATTTATCCGAAAGACCGACTCGTAGATATCCTACAAGAAATTTAGAGACTGATGTTTATTTAACAATGCCCACTTCTGACCTATTAAAACATTCCATTACCTACAATGCCAAAAAATTGTATAATAACCTTCCGATGCAATTAAAATCTATAAATACATACGATAAGTTCCGAAGACTGGCTAAAGCTTTTCTTCTAGAAAGACCATATTACACAGTAGCAGAATTTTATAACGTACCTTAGACATTTGAATTCCACATACAATGGGATTAATTAAATAATTAAATATTAAAGTTTAAATTTAAATTTAAATTTAAAAATTAAATTAGAATAATTATAATGACGGATATTGCATATCCATTGCAATTGTTATTCCTATTTTGTCTGTTTGTTTCTGTTTGTTTTTTCTGCTGTTTAGTTATTTTTATAATATGTTTAGTATTTAAGTTACACGCTTTGTCTATAAAATTTTTGTAATTTTTTTTACGACAATAAAGCATATCTCTCTCTCTCTCCTTAAGTGCCTTATGGTTTTGCAACGCCATAAATCCACTCTCGACTGTACTTAATAAAACAAAAAGCGGATACCAACTAACAGAGTCTGAAACCGTGTCCCAGCTAATGTATATGGATGATATAAAGGTCTTTTCAGGGACCGAAACAAGCCTTAAACGACTCTTAAGATGCGTAGAATATTTTTCGAATGATATACGCATGACATTTGGCCTAGATAAATGTCGGAAAAATAACATCAGAAAGGGTAGAGCATGAAACTAAAGCACACACACTTACCCAGGCCTCTAGAGGTAAAATTATTGCAAACTTGGAGAAAGGTGAAACACAAAGAAAAAACCGAAAAGTACCTACCCTTAGTTGCGGACATGAAACAAACCTGGAACGCAACATCAGTTAGAGTTGTACCCATAATCGTAGGAGCAACTGGTGAAATCCCGAAGAATCTAAAGAAACAACTTAATATTATAAACTTACCAGCAAATACTTACCTAAACCTACAAAAATCTGTTATTCTGTCAACCTGCAATATAATGAGAAAAATATTAAATAAAAAACCAACGCCATAAGAACAATACGTACCTATGAGTTTTGTAATGAAAATTACCAGCTCCTAGTGAAACTCCGTACCTGTACGTGAAAAAAAAAACTAATAATAATAATAATAACTGGATAACTACTCTCCAGTTAAACCGAAAGAAGAAAGTTCAGCACTTCCTGATCTCAGCATACTAAAAAGTGAATGGCTGTCGAAGCTCCTTTAAGGAAAGTTTTCCACTCAACTTCTGCATTTAAAAATTAAATCCTCAACTAAATGGTTGAGAAAGGGATATTTGTTCGAGGAAACTAGGGATTTTTGGTGGCGATTTAAGATAACGTTATCGCGACGCGAAATCATATCCAAATTATCCACGGAGTTTGACTCGATAACGACTTGTGCAGAATGTGTTGTCGCCACTCAGAAACAATAGAGCACATAGTATCATGATGCACGGTATTAGTGCCTACTGAATACCTTAACCGTCATAAATTAACGGCCAACGTAGTTCATCAGCATCTGGCAATTATGTGCAATTTTCAAGAGAAAACTGAACAATATTTTAAATATGTTCCATTCCCGGTCCTAGAAAGTAATACGTACCAATACAGACCGATAAACCAGTATCCAGCAATAGACCTAATATCGTCTTTGTAGGAAAAAAGGAGAAAGTAGGCTTCTTCATTGACATCAATTATTTAAAATTAATTCTGATGCCTTGATAGGATTCCCCACTCGACCGTTCACTGTTAGGTTCTAATTAACAGTGCTGTTCCTAAAGTGACGCTGGGAAACAGTAACAAAGCCTACACAGAACAAGAGGCTAATGAAAATAGAAAACATTTAAAAATACTTCTATCCGAGGACAACAAAGAGACGTGGCAAGCTACAAATATGAGAGTAATCCCTATAATAATTGGCGTAACCGGTGAAATTATCAAAAACCTGAAAAAGTACTTACAAGTCCTAGACCAGCGACGATCTTGGGAACATGCAATGTTGTCCGTAAAGTACTCAACAAACCTGCAGAAGAACAGGAACAATAAGAAGAAAACAGAAATCTTGGGAGCTTTGTGATTTGCCTCACCGGCCGCAAGAAAGAACTGTGTCACCACACGTGATACAAATATAATAATAATAATCTCTCCCTAATTCACCCCGTTATGAGTGAGTTTCAACCCCTGAGGTCAACTGAGCGACTTGGGTAGGGGAAGGGACAACTATTATTATTTGCCGTGGCGCTCTGGGGCGACTTAAAGATGATTGATGGCACCATTAGACATAGAGGTGAGGATAATCCGGAAAGCCCCACCCACCATCATAAGTAATTTTAACAAACAACATAGTGGGAATAGATAATCGTCAATTTTGTTTATGACATCTAAATGGGAATAGCGGGACTTTGTCTTATTTTGTTTTTAAACAAACTTATGTTCCAATGATTTAAAATTTTCAGGACTAGACATGTTTATGGAAATTACCGATATTCCCATAGAATGCTACGTGATCCACAACTTCGCCTGTCCCTGTATGACCGGTCTGGCTTACAAAAGTAAACGCAAAATACTCAAAGACATTATGGTTAAATGGCAGCAAATAGATTTGGAAGTCAGTAATATGAAGGAGTTTGATTTGGATGAGTTTACCGTCATTCCGCATTTATTTACTACGAAGTATACTTTTCCTACGACTCCTGAGGGCAAAATAGATTTCGGATTTTTAGCTCCAGATTGTTTTCATTTTTCTGAAAAAGCTCAAGCTAGAGGTAAGTAATGTTTTTCAGAAAATTTACTACTTTTATATATTTTGTATGCATTTCTATTTAGCGCAAACCTAACAACTATTAGGTATAAAAATATTAATTTTATATAGCGAGAATATTGGTCTGACTTTAAAATTTTGGCCATTTCTTTAGACCTTGAAACAAGCTAAACACATTTTTTTTTATTTCAGTTGCCAATGACCTCTGGAATTCCTTGTTGGAACCATTTGGAAATAAAAGTACGGACGGCACTGAAGTTTTTTCAAAATTTCATTGTCCTACAGATGAGCATCCGTATATATTCACAAGAAGAAATAGCTAATGATTTTTGTTTGTATTTGCATCGTTTTAATAAAATAAAAACAAAAATATTTCAAATTAAAAAAGTTCGGTCGTATTTTAAAACTTATTTTAACCAAGTGTTCGTTAAATTTGACTCGCAAGGATATTTGGGTTTGTCTAAAATGAGCAAGCAGTACCTACTACGGACTATTAGACAATTTGATTTTAAAATAACACTAAAAAAATTAATTCTGTTCAAACTTGGGGTAGCCATGTGTGAGTTAAGGACAGCGTCTCCTAGGAATTTCTGAACAAAATTATGTCACTTTAGATTCAATCAAGGAGGTGCTGTTACCTACCGACTAGAGATTGAATTAGTGCAAATTATTACAGAAATCTTTAAGTAACTATAAATATCGACCGACTAGCTATTAGGGGATATTGTATTATAAACCGGTTTTTAGTAGACTGAGTTCGAAGAATCATAATAATAGTCCTGAACATAAAATCTATTTTTCAATAATTGCCGGGATTTCACCAAATAAAAAAAATTATTTCGCGATTGTGAAAACGGTCCAATCGTTTTATATGCCATTTATAATATTATAAAAATGTTAACTCTAGGACTCATTTTGGAGTATGAGCATACTTTATTTCAATACTTTTATTGTACTGTTTCATAAAATATTACCTACTTATTACATTTTATTTTTATCGAAAATTGACTTTGTTTCCTGGACCAAAGTAAAGAATGTAGATGGTAACAACCAAAACGATATCTTGCCTTACATTAAATATAAATATTTCCTAAAATAAATAATTTGGTTTATATACGGGTAGTAATACGAGGGATGTTTATAATTTCAAGTCACGAATATAGAGTCGTTTCAAAATATATTGCGACAATAATTGCGTCACATTGAGTCGGAGTGGGACGCTTATTGACGTGTTGCAATTCGCAATATATTTTAAAACTATTCTACCTAATTAATAAATTGTGATTTTGAAGTATCGAATGAAAACTATATTCTCATTGGTTAAAGATGGAAGTTTTTGTCATTTGAATGTTCAAGAATATTAATTGTGATTAATTGGTTAAACACCGAAGTTATCTGTTATCTGATGTTGGTACTAACCTAATGTTTTTGGGTAATTTTGACTGTCATTTCCTGGAATTTCCAGACCCGCATAAATATTTATCCTATTAAAGTACAAAAACCCTACAATAGATATTATGAGTAGGTATTTAACATTCATATATCTTATCTTATCTTAGGTAGTTATTTCCCTGATTGTCAATAACACATTACCGTATATCTGTGCCAATATGACGTCACGACTTTTAATATACTTAATGAAGGCTGGGGGAAGGAGTTAAGAGTCTATAAATTTACAAACAAGCTTACGGGTATTTAGTTTTCAAAATTACATTACACGTTTCTGAAGTGTTTTATTGTGCTGTTTGTTTTTAATAAGTGTTATTTTCTTTAATAGAAAATTTATTTATTTGTGCCAAGTGTCCTAGTGTACATTTTAATCAGTTTTATTTTTGGATAAATTGACATCGACTTCCTGCATTAAAGGTAGGTAGTATTTTTTTTCTATCACTCTCGAGTTCGTCATTGAATAAAAAAATTAAACGCTATAATTTTAACATTCAAATATTACGTAATAAATTGACAATAAAAAAACTTGTTATTTAATAATAATGTTTCATTATTCTGAATATATTTTTTCTACGATTAATATCCAAAGTAGGTAGGCTTTTGCACATTAAAATCTAAATAAAAAGTTGACGTTTTCTGCGAATTGTCATAATTTGACATTATTGGCGCACATTACCTAATATTCAAACCCATTTCCATGCTTAAAAATAGAAGATGGTGACATTCATTTAAAAGAAAACCATAACTACTTTTACCAGGTGAAAAATTTCAATACGTTAAAATAATTCATGATTTTTAAGAAATGTGCTAGAAATGATACTACAATATTAATATTCTTTTTATGTTTGATTTTCTAATAATGATTTTATATACTTTTAGATTCAAGGACAGCTAGGTATAGCTCCAAGAAAATTGTGCTACTTTGTAGTATATACTGGAGATGAAAATCCACTATTTGTTGAAAAAATTAATTTTCAACCCATTTTTTTTTTAAATATGGTTGAAAAATTAGAAAAATTTTACTCGGAATATATGGCACCTGAGATAATTTTAAATAGAAGAGGACGAGGATTAAAATGTCTGGATACCCCATATAATGAAAATTAAAGTGCAAAGATTAGTAAATTTATAAAAATAATAATTTAATGGACTTTAATCATACAAGTACTTGAAATAATGGTTTTTTGCGCATAAGCATGTTCATACGTAATTTGCAATTGGTAATCACTAATCACAGATGGAAAAGTATATACGTCAACGATACGTTCTTTTATTTTTGATTTATTTTAACAGGTATAATATATGGTATGTTACTTATAGTATAGATTTTTTATTTCTTGACCTAATTTATTTGTTACGTCTTCAGCAATTGTCGCTTTCAGTTGACACAAACGAAATTGATAAAAAGTATTTTTCGCATTTTATTTTGACTGTTTCTCTTACTTTCGAATAGAAACTGAGCTTTGTAAACTTAAAATGACGGATATGTCAAACTAAAACTGACGGTAAAATGAAACATTGAGTATCGTTAAATGCAACTTTTGAACTAGTTTCAAAAATAGCATTAAAATGATATCATTCACAATGTACTAATTTCCTATACTTTTAGTTGATAAATAACCGATAATCATAACATAACAAATAGGCGCGTGTCAAAAGGTCACCGGCGAAAAAAGAGTGCCGATGAAAAAAGGTCGTTTCCAATTGTATCATATAAACAGTATCAGAGGCAGTATTATCATCTCGTTTATCCCCCGTAAACACACATAATATAAACGGAAATAATCAAATACTAGTCAAAATATTATCGATCGGAGCACCATCTTTATTACATTACATGAAGTAATTATTGATTTTTCGGGGTTTATTTAGAGTTAAATTAGACGCCATTTTTGGTCCAAATTCGTTTTGACATGTTTTTTCAAAGAAAGTGACTTATAAATTTCAAATCTACACGTTTTGAAAAATATACAATATTTAAATATTCTGAGTGTACCAAATTCCAAGTAAAGGTTGAACTTAGGTCGTATTACATTTTTTTTTTATTATTTGTTTGACATCGAGGTTAAAATAAATCTACACGGCACCTTTGAGATGAAATAAAAGGGGGTTATTTTACACGATTGGTTTTTATTGAAAATAATAAATTTATTAATTTTCAATAGTAAGGTGACCTAAGTTAGACCTTTATTTTTAATTTGGCCAAAAATTAGATTTTTAAACACTACATATTCGGAAAACTGTCGATTTAACTTTTGGTCTACACATACACTTTTAATACACAGGGATACCCCGTCCTTAATGTATTAAAGTTGGGAAAAGAAAGAAAACAGGTCTTTTATATATCACAAAGAAAGTTGTATATGAACGACGCACAGTGGGTCAGAATTACCTTAAAATATTGAACAATTCAAAAATAAACTACTGAAATAGCAATACATTTTTATAGATCACAACTAAGTAGGCTCTGGAGCATTCTAGTACAGTAGAATCACTGTCATCGGTTGCCTTGGATACACGCTAATACACTGCAAACTTTGACATGTTTTCTGTTGAGTTGGTGTCTTCAGTTTTTTCCCTAAGAGTGTTTTAAAATTTCGCAAAATATTTAAAGCAGTGCTTCATTTTAAAAGTTTTAGGATGAGTGACATTTATGCAGATAAGTTTATATTTTTTTTAGCAAACTTAGGTTACTTTGCGAAATATAAAAGAACCAAACAATTAAGATGGTTCGCGATTTCTAACATCGGTACACTGGACACCAACATTTTCTGGCACAAATCTTGCTATAGTATTTTTAATACAAATCCCGATGCACGTCAGAGATCATTTATGATGTCACGGCCTTGCAGTCTTATGTTAATACATGAAAATTGTAACTTATTTCAGTAACTGATGTTCCTAATTTTTTGAACACTCTGTATAATTTATTTTACTAAGTGCAAATAAGCATTGACAAATTATATACAATTGTAAGACGTGTCATAAGTTTCATGGAAAAAACATGAATTGCTTAAGAGTGGTAAAGATATATATGAAAATATTAATTCTGCACTCCATACTTTTGAATCCTTCTAACAGCTCACATTGTAGAGCGGCAAACTTGAGGTCCATAAGAAAGTTGCCGTTAATGGCTTGAAAAATAACTAAAATTTGAACAAATTCTGTCAGTACCCAAAATCAATGTAAAAAGTGCGGGGTTTTTTCTTTTCGCCTTTTACTTAATTTCGGCTTTTTCGTTCAGTTAGTACATTAATTTGATTAATAATTTTTTGTTAGTGTGAATAAATAAATATTAGTAGTATTAGTATATTAGTTTTGTTAATTTCGCTTAAACTAAATCAATATTCTATCATTTTTTAATTTTTTAATGTTAATGGTTTAATTTTTGGCTAACAATTTAGAACTTATCAATTCGCCCTTTTCTCTTACCCACTAGATGTACCTGATGATGAAGTGAACAAACTTCGAAACCAATCGCAGTTCAAATACAAATTTCTTTGTGAGATATAAACGACATGTTTTCTTTCTTTTCCCACCTTTATTAATAATGTAACAAATTATAAAAGTAATTCTAAAAAACCGACTCTAAAATCTTTGACTAAATTTATATGAAACCATTCCTGAGGTACCCCCTTTCTAATAAAAAAAGAATCATAGATATCGGACAAGGTGGTAAAAAATTATCCCTGAACATACATAAAGAAAACTATTCCAACGAATTGAGAACCTTCTCTTTTTTTTGAAGTCTGGTTTATGTCTTTTATTTTTATTGACTCGTATTATTATTACAATCAGGAATAAAGAAATTTTTCAAACAATACGCCATTGCAACAATATAAAGAGTGAGTACCAAAACAAAAAATATCGACAG